CATACAGTGCATGTGGATAAGTTTCCATCTAAAGTAAACACGGCATCTTTTGTCGGTAGATCACAGACCTGAGGCGATTATCACGTGTGAATTTGACTGACAGCCCAGATAAGTAAATGGAGTAGAGATGTGATGGCCGAGACTAGGGGAGTTGTTGTACAGCATTTGTTGCATAACATTTTGTTGAATATCTCGATATCAAATGAAATTTTGATCATAAGATAGGTCTTGCATATTAGAATGGACCATTGTCTATGTGGCTATACCATCGCAGCAGGGTTATAACTTGCCATAACTGCATAAGCCATAGAAGTTTCGATGGTATAAATACCATCGAAACAGTTTAGCGGCGAAAAAGTTTGATGGTATACATACCATCGCGTCAGGTAAAGGGTTAACGTTGAATTTCGATATACAAATCTTGTGGAGAGGATGAGGAGCTAATATAATTTCATTCGAGAAACGGAAAAAGTCTACTGAAGTGCTTGTACCATGGAGTTTCTCTCTAAGCTAGTCTTAAAAATCTTGCCAAGTAGTTACACTTTCAAATAAAGGAGAATTAATCGCAAGCTCAGCAGCTCCCTTGCAATGCAACCTTGCCGTGTTTATTAATGTTGCATCATCTTTTACTCTCGTAAGTAGCTGCCACCAGAATTGTCGTTTAACAAAGTGAAGTAGTGTGGCAAAAGTTCTTTATTGTAAGATACTTATCTTATGATTTGTGATGATTTAGAAACTATGTATTTTATATTATGTTATTTATCATCATTTCCGTGATCTTAAGTTATCTTCATTCATTAATTCTCAGTCATTAGTACTAGCAGCGCCGGAAACAGGAAGAGGTAGAAGGGAGATGAGGAAGAATGAGGAGCAGAAGGAGTAAAAAAGAGAAAGAGGAAGAGGGAAATGGAAGGAGAAGAAAGATATGTTTGGAAGTAAAAGAGGAGGAAGAGAGAAGTGGAAGGAGAAGAAAGATATGTTTGGAAGTAAAAGAGGAGGAAGAGAGAAGTGGAAGGAGAAGAAAGATATGTTTGGAAGTAAAAGAGGAGGAAGAGAGAAGTGGAAGGAGAAGAAAGATATGTTTGGAAGTAAAAGAGGAGGAAGAGAGAAGTGGAAGGAGAAGAAAGATATGTTTGGAAGTAAAAGAGGAGGAAGAGTAAAAGGGAGGAGGAAGAGGTAGACGGAAAGAAAAGATGATGAGAAGGAAGATGTGTTAAGAGGGAAGAAGAAGGAAAGGAAAGGAGAAGGAGGAGGAGGGGTTGATGGTGAAAAGGGAAAAGGAAGAGGAAGAAGAGGAAAGATGGAAAAGAGGAAGGAAAATATAAGAGTAGGAGGAGGAAAAGGGAGAGAAAAGGAAAAGAGACGAGGGAGGAAGAGGAGGAGAAAGATAAACGGAGATAAGTGAAGAAGAAAGAAGGAAAGGGAGAGAAGACGAAAAGGGAGGGGCAAAAGGAGGATGAAGAGGAGAATAAGGGGAAGGAAAGGGAAAAGGAAGAGGAAAGGGAAGAAAAAGTGGAAGAGAAGAGAGAGGAAAAATGGAGGCGGATGATGGGGAAGATAAAGGCGAGAAGAGAAAAAAAGGATGTAAATGAGGATGAAAAGAGGGAGAAGAGCGAGGAGAAAGAAAATGAAGAGGAGGAGGGAGAAAAACAGGAGAGGGGAGAGGGAAAAATATGAGGAGAGGAGAAAAGAATAGGAAAAAGAAAATGAAGAGGAGGGAAGAACAGAGAAGGGAGAGAAGAGGATGATGATGAGGAAAAGGAAGGAGAAAAGAAGAGGTGGAGGACGAGGAAAAAGAGTAAGAGGAGGAAGAAGAAAGGGAGGAGTAGTAGGAAAGAGAGGAAGAAAGGAAGGAATAGGAACAGGAGGAAGGAGAGGAGGAAAGGGATGAGGAAGAGTTGGAAAGGGAGGAGGAGGAAAGGAAGAGGAAAAGGAGGAGGAAAGAGATGAGGAAGGGGGAGGGGGAGGAGGAAAGTGATGAGGAAGAGTTGAAAAGGGAGGAGGAGTAGAAAAAGGAGGAGGAACAGGAGGAGAAGGAAAAGGAGGAAGAGGAAAGGGAGGAGGGGGAGGATAACTTCAGTCTGTTCTTCCTCTTCTTTAAGTTCTTTTTTGCATTATTATTTCGGGTAATTTTCACTTTTATCAAATATGTCCTCTACTTTTATTTATTTCTTAATTTGTTTTTTTTACTATCATGATTACTTTTACACTACATATCCTTGAGATGTTTTGCTGCACGTTATTATATCAGTGCGTTATGATACGATGATGTCTGGGCGCTGTTGATGGTGAGTGCCAAGTGTACAAAAGTTGTGCTTGGCTGGAAAAATAAAAGGTTTTGGGTTTATTCTCCAAGCGACCATATGTGTTTCTGAAAGAGCATTGGGAATTTTTATTGGCTCATCTCGTCTGCCATATTTTCTAAAAAGGTGTCTTGTGTTATGTCATCGCTAAAAATATACTGTCTTTTTCTGACTGCTGACGCACACACAACAGGGACGGAACGCGTACGGACCACCGTGTAGTACTGAGCATGGATAGCCGGTGCTCAATGCAATGACTCATGCTAGACATTGCAAAGCTTTATTATTGTGTCTGTGTATTGCTTGGAAATGTTTGTACTGTACTGTACAGTGCATGTACTATGTTGCTTCTAATTTATGTTTTTATTTGTTTATGCCTTCTTGCTATATGATGATGATTATGTCCATCCTGTGATAAGAGTTAGATAATTGGTTTCCTTGATTAATAGTTTACAGACAAGGGTACTGTGGATAACGCCCTTGATTGGTTGATATTTAAATTGTGAAGCAAAGTGATCTCTTTAATGGCTAAAGGTCACATAGCCCAATATATGTGGTAGGCATCAAAGGTGATATAATACTAAGAAAAGGTGTAATGCAAGGGGTAAAGAGGAGGGTTAGTTGATGATTAAATGTGTTACAGGGGACAGATGACTGGGAGGAGGGGTTGATGGAAAGGATGGGGTAGAAGATGGGCGAGGAGAAAGAGGGGTAGGTAGTGGGTGATTGGAGTGTCTGGAATAGTGGTGGAGATGGGGGTCTCTGAATTTAGAGCAGTAGGGGATAGAAGTGGGATGAGGAAGAGATGCATGGGGAGATGTAGAGACACCGTGGGAGGAAAGGGGAAAGGTAGAACAATTGCTGGAGTAGGGAGTGAGAGAGAACCCCGTGGACGTGGTCCCTGTGTGGCTTGGCATAAAGTGAGGCCAAGTCTGAATCTGAGACTTGACAGCATTGGTGTTCATTGAAGCAAATGAACATCACAGGATTCTTGAAAAACGCAAGAGTAAGTTGACAGCTAAACTCCTGCCTATGATTTATCTCGTCACTGTCATAGCTGGAGAGCAAGACCAAAAGATTAATAAAAAGATAAAGATAACACGATGATAACAAAGATAATCAGACGAAAATGATTGATAAAGCCCTCATGAACTTAGCCTAGATGTTATCTTATTCTTAACCCATTGCCGCCGGGGATGACATGTACGTACATGCCATGCCCACTGTGAGGCGACTTGTTCGATTATTTTTACACATAGATGGCTACACTTGTACTTAGTATCCAATGAGCCAATTACGAGAACTGCATGTCTCGCCCGTTCACCTTTTTCATCGATTTACGAAAATATTTAACGTTATCGTAATTTGCTGTTAAAAATAACACCATCTATATTTATAGCACTGGTAAAAATACCTTTTTTCCCGCCAATTCAAGGAAAGGTGAAATCAGGACTAGCAGAGTCATCTATGGACAGAGATATTTCACAAAAATATAAAAAATGAGTACTGCATTTCCCCCATTTTTTGTTCATTTTCCCCGGCAGCAATGGGTTAAGTGGAATAACTGGATGATAAACTTGGTCAAATAACCGAATGCAATTATTTTTTACTGCATTGTAACTGGAGCTTTTATGGGGCAAGGGTATATGGCCACTTTAGTCCCTCCCACTTGCAAAACGGTTTTGTGTCCATACACATACACACAGGCGTACACGCATACGCGCACGTACACGCACACGCTGACGCACACGCACACGCGCACGCACATACACACACATGTATATATCTATATCTGTATATATACATATATACACACATACATACATTTATATATATATAAGTATATGTATGTAGCTATAAACATTTACATATACATGTACGTACACACACACATACACATTAACATACACACTCACACTGCTTGCGTGTGTGTACATACATACATACATATATATCCATTAATGTACTTATATACAACCTCCCTCCAGCCCCCCGGACATCTTAACAAGCGTTCATTTGCAAGTATGCAACGGCAAGCAAGCGACCAGAGCGGGGCACAAGCAACACCACAGGAGAGGATCCGCAGAGTTCATCCGGAGCTCAAGCGGAAATATCCCAGTGTAAGATACGGAAGTTGCATTTTATTTCATTGAAGTTGCATTTTATTTGCCTGCTCTATTTCTATCATGTTATTATTGTGCAGTTTTATTCATTATTGTGCATTATTATCGTTTTTATTATTATCATAGAGCATATTCTTTTATGTATCATTATTATTATTGCTATTTTGTATTATTATTATCATTATTATTATTATTACTATTATTATTTTTATTATTTCTTATTTCATTATGATGTTCCTTTTTAAACACTTCTATCATTTTTACTTTTGTTGTAATAACTACTTTCATTTGCTAATGACAGTTCTTTGGTCACTGTATTGTTTATGATGATTATTAGTATAGTGTTAATCGCTTTTAGTTTAATGTATGTAAGTCTGGATATAGCTTGGGTACGCTACATAATGCAAACATGAATTTGGTAATGATGATACTAATAAACATCACCATCACCACCATCTTCTTTGTGGTGACTTTTTGGTTTAGTAATATTGATTTGCAGTTAGTGATTTTTTTATCGCTTTGTATGTATAACAATTTCCTAAGTAAAATTTGTTAATAAGTAGTAGGTATTTGCAGACAGTGTTTTTGGCAAATGGTAATTCTTTGTTCTTAGTAGTAATACTAACAGTAGAAGTAGCAGTTGTGCCTTTTCTATCTGCAGATTAACTGTCACTTACATTGCTCTGAACAGAAACTTTCGCTCTATTTCATGTTTCTTTTCGTTTTTCTTGTTTTTCTAATAGGGCAATAAGGGAAATATCGTTGATGAAAAGAATAAGAATGATATCACAAGCAAGGAAGATGCAATTAAGGCTTATAATAAGCAATTCAAAAAGGAAACAGTCAAGAGAAAGGTTTCAAGACGAATGAAAACGGAATTTGCCTTCGGAGTTTACACATTACTAGAAATGGGTGAGAAACTTAAAAAAGAAATAATTATAATTCAGTTATTACCGTAAAATATTATAAAAAACTTTCTGTAAAGATTCAAATTGAACAAAATAATTCCTTTACTCCTTTATGTATAAAATTTTCCTTTTTGGATTTTGAATTATAAAAATATTTTGACAATTTCCAGATGAAGAAGACGATTGGAAGAGGACGCTTGGGAAAAAATGTGAATAAATAGTTTTTAATATTTTGATTTTTTTTTTTTTTGAACATATATGTAATTGTATAATATCAAGTCAATACCAATACACAAATGTCTTTTTAAGAAAATATCACACTTCCTTTCAACATATTTAAAAGCACACTCTTGCTTGGCACATTGGTGGCACTGAAACCATAGGCGTACTTACTATCTCACAAGTCGCTCGATCACGGAGTCCCTCGAAAATTGCAGACACGCCCCTTGGTAAGCTGAGTCAGGCGCAGATCGAACGAGGACAACAGGCCCTTCGGGAGATTCAAGACGTCATAGGGAGCAAGGTGCTGCCTGAAAGATTAGTGTGGAGATGTGGTCGTGTATATATGTTTTCATATATGTATATATATTATTTGTTTATTTGTGTATATCGCTATATATGTCTATCTGTCTGTTGTAGGGATATGTCATATATTCACACACACACACACATGCACTGTATCTCTCTCTCTCACACACACACACACACTTACTCACGCATTCAATCATTCATTCATCCACTCACTCACACAGTCACACACACACACACACACAAACAGAAATATAAACAGATACACGGTAAGGTAGATTAGTCAAATGAAAATGGGAAGACAGGTGACACGATAGACAGATGTAAATGGACAAAAACGTCAGGGAAATAATGAGATTGCCAAACGGAAATAGAAATATAGATATTATATATATTTTTTTGTGTTTCAGATTGAGAAGAAGGAGATTGTGGACAAGCTAACAGAATTGTCATCTAAGTATTATACTTATATCCCGCACCCTTTCGCTCTCAACGAGAAACCGGATTTGATAAATGATCAGGCTGGGGTGGATAAAGAGAAGGAATTCTTGAGAGCCATGCAGCAAACACAGGTGGAAAATGAGGTGAGAGCAGTGGCCTGGGTGGAAGGAGATGCACAAGTCCAGTTTGACCCTTGAACTCTCTTTCTCTCTCTCTCCCTCCTCCATCTCCCTCTCTCTCTCGTCCCCCCCCCCCCTCTCTCTCTCTCTCACTCTCTCCCTTTCTCTCTCTCTCTCCCCCCCCCCTCTCTCTCTCCTCCTCTCTCTCTCTCTCCCTCTCTCTCTCTCTCTCTCTCTCTCTTTCTTTCTCTCTCTCAGTGAATGCATTTCTGTTTCCTGTGTCCTTCCTTTCAATACCTTTAATTCTGCCTTCGCTTTTCACGATGCACTGTAGCCTGTTCCGTAGTGCTAAGGTTCACTCCACTAACTTCAATACACTGTCTTTCATAGCCAGGATGAAGTCCTGTGCGAAAAGGTCTTGCATTTTCAGAGATGTCACATAGATGTCTGTAAAAGCTCCGTCGCCTGGCTGTCCTCTTATGCAAATATATCTCAATACGTCAATTAGTCAACTTATTAATCTTCATGAAATAGTGATGCATAAAACATTTAACAGAGAATGTCATGTATATTACAGTAAGCATTATTATTATGAATAAGGGAGGTAGTCTCTCTCCCTCTCCCTCCTTCTCTCTCTCTCACCCCTTCACTGCGTCTCTTCTCCCCTCTTCTTTGAATCTTAACATCCACATCCACTCCTTCCAGAACCAAGCAGCATCAGCGGAAGTTCAGTCTGAACCCGTGGCGCCTGAACCGGGTTCAAGCGAGACAGTCAAGGAGGAAAAAGAAGTGAGAGAACCAAAAAGGGCAAAGAAGGATTGAAAAAGCACAACCTAAAGCCTTTCGAGTCGGTACATTGACGTGGACTTTACAGTAGGAAATAAAGGTCTGAATGAGAATGAATGAGAAATCCACGTCTTTCGAAACCGGGCAAGTACATACATTTCTGACGAAGGTGTAGTCGAAACCGGTAAAATAAATGCATTTCTGACTACGGTATGGTCGAAACTGGTAAGATACTTACATTTCTGACGAAGATATGGTCGGAACCGGTAAAATACATGCATTTCTGACGAAGGTATGGTCGGAACCGGACAAATACATCTCTTGCGACGCGAAGATATTCATTCTCACTCATACCTTTTGTCTACATTTACCGCAATGAACACAGGAGTCATCTCCAGTGACTGCATTAAGATCAACGTCGTTCTGATAATGTTTAGGAATTTGATTTTTGTTTTGTTTATTTAGGCGTTTGAGGTCACTTATTGTAGCCATCACGACTATTGTACCATTGATTATCGGTGTCTTTAAATTGTGTATGATTTTGTTAATTAAGTTAGTCTCTGTCTTTTAAGTTTTACAATATGTTTGGTTAACGAAGAACTTGTGTCAAGAGTCCCCAACATGTTACTTCAGTTTAGATATCTGATTTTTATACATAACATATATTGACTGAATTAGTGGAATATTAATGAACTTAGTAATAATATCTTTTTATCATTATGTCATGATAAAAGGTAATGCATTGCTTGATTTAGCTTAGTGTGTGATATATCGAGTTGATTAGCACTTTATTGTTTTAACTAGCATTTAAGGCTTACGCTGAAATGATGTATTATGCAAGCGTATTTGTTAATACTTATTCTATTTAAACCCAATCTGAGATTTTACTTTCGTTGTCATTTATGGGACTACTCGCTAGTTTGAGCCATCATCCATAGTGGGTTTTTAGAGTTAAGTGTTTTTTTTTTTTCTTACGACGATGTATGTGAAATGAATGCACGCACACAATCACAAATGTGTGTGTGTGCGTGTATTTTTAACAAGGAGGATATACTCTATTCATATATATAGCATATGGCGCGTTATAAATGCACACACACACACACACACACACACACACATATATATATATATATATACGAGTATATATATGATTATATATATAT